GAGGAAGGATGCTTGAGGGGGGGAGAAGAGGAAGGTAATTGGAGGGGGGGAGAAGAGGAAGGTAATTGGAGGGGGGAAGAAGGAAGGAAATTGGAGGGGGAGAAGGAAGGAAATGAGAGGGAGGGGGAGAAGAAGGAAATGAGAGGGAGGGGGAGAAGAAGGAAATTGACAGGGGTAGGAGGAGAGATTGACATCCATCACACACACACACAATGCACCCCTTGCACACAGAAAAACACACAATGCATTACACACAGACACACATACACAAGCAATGCATCCCTTACACACAGCAACACACAATGCACCCCTTACACACACTCAGTGCATCCCTTACAGACGCACACACTGCATCCCATACATACACAAACTCACCTTGCAGCCCTTACACATACAAACACAGATTCACACAATGCATTTCTTACACACATCAGGACATCCCCCCACACACACACACCCCTGTGAACAAACTCATTGGTGGAACATGAAGGTGGACCCTGGGACCCAGACCTTGAGCTGTGTAAAGGGCCCTCAAAAAAATGGAGCTGCTTCCCGTTCTCCCAGAACATTGATTTTTGTGACCACAGTTACAAACCGCCTCCAGAGAGCCTGTTCTACACCAGACCAGTGGAGCCAGACGGCAGCTAGAGCCCATCATCATCCTCATCTGGTTGTAAGTAGGCAATCTAGTATATTATTTGTGGCACTAATCTCTAATTTACCTCACATTAAAGGGACACTATAGTCCCCAGAACCACTGCAGCTTAATGTAGTGGTTCTGGTGTCTATAGCCTGTCCCTTCAGGCCTTTTATTGTAAACACGGCGGCACTGCAGCACTGTGTTAGTTAACATGGCAGATCATATGGGTGGGGCATTGTGATGTCACATGGGGGGCGGCAAACTTTACTTTTGCCTAGGGCGGCAAAATCCTTGCACCGGCCCTGCAGACATTGCATCCCTGTGGGCGGACTCGGGGGGGGTGGGTGACTGACTCGGGTGCAGGCACCGGGGGGCCCAGACCTTGAGCTGTGTCAGGGGCCCCAAAATTTCTGATGGCAGCCCTGCGGGCACCAGTCCACAGATTAAAGCCTTGCAGTGCGGAGCCATGTCATTGGCTGACAGTGTTAAGCTGACGTGGTCTGTAGGGGTTATGGTGTTGCAGTATTGCTTTGAAGGTAGCACATATATGCATACAGATCATAAATAGTTCTGTACAATTAGAAGCACTTGAGGTAAGAATTATGTTCAAGAATTATGTTATTATAAACCAAATTATGACACGTGACTCACTAATGGGATTAAAATTTACAACTGTATTTGCCAATGGAAATATAAAACTAATCCATAAAATTTTAACAATTAAAGACAGCACTGAACCTATTTCTAAAACTAAACAGGTGGTTATGGAGAAGTTAATGAAAAGCAACAGCGTTTATTAACTATGAAAAACCTGCAAACATTCCGCTAAAATATTAAAATTGTAGTATCAGAGTAACTGTAGTAACTGTATCAATACAGTTGTAATTTTCCTAACCTGATCGGTCAATGTACCTGTGATGATACGGCCCTGACGTCTCTGTTACTGAGGGTGCAAACGTTCAGGAACGCTATTGTCCGTGGTATTCTTTTTACATATCTTGCACCACTAACTGCTCCACTAAAAACTCAGATTTGAGTATGCACTGGTAATGCAGGATATACTGCACTAGTATCTGGTTACTATAGCATATTCTATCTATCTAGTCCTCTGGAAATACTCTACAGACACACACACTGCTCTGTGTATAATACAGGTACACACAATATATAGATGATTATGTACATTGCAAGCAGTCACAAAATGGCGCCGCAAGCTTGCACAAAACAAATCAGGGGGATCAGGCCATCCATTACAACGCCACCTTGGGCCTTATATAAGGAGGAAAACATCTTCACAAGATATCATGGCAAGAGGTTGCTTGGATCCATAGAGCTGCTGGTAATAAGATGTACTTGCTGTATAGACAACTTAATGCTCTATTAACTAAATCCACAGTGAAATCCTTATAGACCACGTGCAATACAAGGCTGACAGGTTTATTCACAAAAATGGGAATAGCCGGAGAGCAGAGT